CGCCCACCGACAGCCCACACTGGCTCAAACATGTGAGTTGGACTCCTATGTTTCCGAACAGCCTCCGCTCAGCATCCATATCAATCGGGGCATGTGTTGAAAGATTATCCCACTTAGATGCTGCAGCTTGTGCGCATCATGAAGCCTTCGAAATGTGCCCTCAAGCGTAGCTTTGGGCGACGGCTAGCAAGTGTGACCATGCTCAGGGACGTGAATGCTTGTGCTTCGACCATGGCTGCGCTAGCCAAGCCTGTGGAGATCCCGCATCCAGAGGATGAGGACCTTCGGAGTTTATGTGCAAATGTCGAGTGGGTGTGCAGCGGCAGCGTCTGTTCTCCATGAATCCACAACCTTTTGGAGCTCATGCTCAGACGAGATGATCAGTGTAGACTAAGCCTCAGATCTAGGAGCCGATCTGTTCTCCACGGAGTGCGATTCGGGTCCAGTTCGCGCAGGCCGAACGACATCTGCGGCACTTGAGCTTTGCAGCAAGAAGTGGTTCTTTGCAGTCAGGCCTCGTAAGTAGGCCTGCTATGCCGGCCGCAGGACAGCCCACGATCTCGCCCCAGCCAAGATGGACAGTTGCCGGCACTGTTGGCACAGCATCATCGGGACCCACAGTCTTGAAACGCCATGACGACATGATTTGCAATGTGACGAAGCATTTTCTCAAGGGTTGTGAAGTCAGACTACGTCGTCATTTGCCTTGCGAGGAGCTCATCCGAAAACTGGAGGTTCAGGATGACGTCTTGAGCCAGATCCTGTTGAAGCGCCATGGCATGATTCGACACACAACCTGGTTCCATCTTGGACTGGACAAACAACCTCAGCCTTTTCCTTCATCGCGAGGTGCGTGCGCGACAGCCGTGAGCAGAAATCAGCATTGCAGACCCTCGGCTGACTTGTAGCTGGTGGCCTGGCCTAGCATGTCGGAACTATCAAGGTGTTAATTTGTTCTTGGACCGAGCAGCTGGCAGCTACCTGGTTGAGCCACAGGAGCCCTTCCCGAGTATCTTCTCAACAGACTCTGGATATGGAGCGCAGCTTGGTTTGCCTGTTCACGCGTCGCTTGTGTCGGTCACAGTCGAGTTTCAGCTTCGGCTTTCTACAAGCTTGACCATGTCTTTAGCTGAAATGGCTGTCCTGCCTTGTGGCCCTTTCCCTTGGCCGGGACTGTTTCTCTGTAGCTAGTGCGGAGATGAAGTGATGAAGTGACTGTCCGGACAGCAGAGGCATGTCGAACCACTCAGACGAAGGGGCCTGGGTGATGCCCTTGCCGACCAAAGCCACGAGTGCCGACTTGCTGCCAGACGAGGATGAAGACGAGCGCCCCTATCCAACGGAGCATGCAGCTCGGCCAAGCAGACTACGTCCCTCCTGCCTTACACGATCATATGTCGGTAAGTTTCGCATGGACTTATCACAGCATGACGTGCAGCTTAGCCTCAGCCAGTTGTAGCCCATGGAGTAGACATCCGACTCACCCCTTACAGCGACCTGAGGCGTTCCACAAGCGTCCGAGTGTGCAGTTCTCGGAACGCAGCTCGCGGCTTTCATTTACCCCCCGAAGTACCTTCACACCCAAGCTGTTCACTACGTATCTTGGCACGGGTTTGACACCCACTCTAAGCACCTGTGTACCTCTGATCTCCTTGTTTTCTCTCATGGGTCTTGAACGAGTCGTGCCTCGGTCCTGGAGGTTCTCGCAGGCGGACTTAAAGCTCCGGGAAAGTGCCGACCACGCACAGGGGATCAACTCCAGGAGAAGGTTCGCCAGCTGCAAGGGAACAAGCCTGGACCACATGAAAAGCCCAGAGAACTGTTGGCAATGGCTGGTCGGCCATCCCCTCTTTGACTGGTTCTTTGCAACAGTGGTGCTGCTGAATGCCGTTTTCATTGGCGTGGACGTGCAGATGAGCATCGGGTCCATGGAGATTCGGCCGATGCAAATCCAGGTGATGCAGTACTGCTTCACTGCCCTCTTCACCATCGAGTTGGCTTTGCGCTTTGTGGCTAATGGCGTGCGGCTGTTCTGCCTGGAGGACTGGATGTGGAGCCTGCTGGACGTTTTCATTGTCGAATCCTGGACGGATGACATATCAGGTTTTTCCAGTCCAGTCTGGCACAAGGTATTAGGTAGAGTGTCAGGTCGTTGTGCGATGTGTGCACTTGAGGCGACATCCCTTTGGGAGATCATGGTGGACATTGTAACAGCCCTCGAAGCTGTGAATGGCAATATGGAAAAGATCGCCGGGATCTCCAGCTTGAAGGTCTTCCGGATCATACGCATAACTCGGATCGTGAAGACGGTGCCTTGGCTTTCCCACATCCTTTTCCATCCAACTAGGTTCTCAGTGGCCCTCCGGCCCTCCGGACTCGAGTCATCCCAGCACTGTGGCACGGAACTGGCACGACATTCAACTGATGTCACCGAAGAGTGCAAGCCATTTGCATGTAGAGTGTAATATTCTTCTGTACTTCAACCCAACCTCGCCAAGATACAACTGATGCGCGTCTTCCGATTCGTGATGGCCTTCCGAACGCTGATCTCCTCCATCATTCACACCTTGAAGGCGCCCGGGCAGTGAGAGATGCCAGTCGACCGGGATACGCCTGACATGAACATCTCTGGATCCGTCAGGCGCTGTTCTGGGCGCTGATTTTGTTGCTCCTCATCGTTTACGTCTTTGCGGCACCTCGCTTGCAAGCCTGGCCAGGCAGGAAACACGGCAGGTTTGCATCTTCGTCAAGTTTTGAGAGATGCTTAGCAAAGTCGCGGTAACGACGGCTACAGAATGATACACTAGAGCCACTAGAGACAATGATGGCTTTACCACTGCGGTAGCAGGGAAGTGTTTCGTGACAACCTTTAGATGGCAAACATCGACGGTGCAACACTGCGAAAAATCTTCAAGTAGACGTATGAAGCAAGTATGGCCCTAGGTATGGACCATGGCCAGCCACATGTATTGCGCCGAACATGATACTACTCATACATCTGCATGCATACATGAACCCTTGAACTCCGTGGACGGATTTCGGTCAGTCGTTGCAGAGTATATATGAGCCAACAGAAGCGAGCAATCACTTGCTTGGTTGACCAGGCTCTTGTGAAAACTGAGCAATGCAATGTGTAGTTTGTCTCCCGACTTGTAAGGGTCGTCCTGTGCTGTCAGCCGCCAATGCACAGCTCTGTTAACTCTGTTATTGGTTTGCTTAGCGGCTGCCGGAAGGGGAAACACACACCAAGAGACGACACCTGCAAAAAGAAAGTCACGAAAGCGAGTCCTTCGAGGACTCAGCAAAATTTTTGGTTTGGTTGATTAGTAAGATCTCAACGGCTTCGAAGGCGTGGAACCCCATCCTCAACCAAAGCCAACCTAGCAGGTTGGTTTGATCAGTCACGGTGGGGAGGCCCTCTGCTCTTAATTAACAGATTGACAGATCTATACATCTCTGGTTTTGGGCAGTGAGGCATTGAGCCCGCCCCCGACCCCAACATGACCCCAACAATGCTACCAGTCTTGCAGCCATTGCGCCGTCGTTGCTGCCGTTACTGCTATTGTTGCTTTTTAGCTGCTGTTGGCTGCAAATGCCCTACTCGATGCATCACACATCATCAAACACTGACTTCAAGCTGGTGTGAGCAGTCCTAGAACTGTGGTTGCACAGCAGCCGGATGAAGAGATGCACTCGCTGAGAACAAAACGCTGAAGCGCCCTGCGAAGATGCTGCTGCCCCCCCCCCCTCTTATGCTTTTTCACTGCCGTTACCAGTCGTACTGTCGCTTCTACCACCAGCTTTCCTTCCGCAGCAGCTGATCTGTTGCTGCTACCGATCCGCAACTGCAGTGCTTAACTGCTTTTGCCAGCCGTTGCTGACGCATGCAGCGCACCAACCACCGACGAGCTTGCCCAGCCTTCACTAGCGAGTCGTGATGTGCAGGTAAAGTTAATAAGCAGTCGAATTGTGTTGTGCAGAGCGGTGCGCCAGTCTGCCCGTGTGCAGTCGTGCAGTGTGCGAGCGCTGTCTGCGTGTATGGCACGGGCAAGCACTCCTATGTCTTGCAATTGCAAGGGTGTTCGCACCCACGGGCAATCAATCAATCAATCAATCAATCAATACATTCGATACTGAGAAATGCACAGGCGGACACGCCTTTGGGAACCAGAACAAACACGACGGTAGAAGCCATGCGGCCGAATGGGAAGCACTCTTGTGTGTTCATACAAAATGGTGGCAGAACGGGAAATCTCAGCATCTTTACTTACAGCCTAACCTTAACCCCGAGCTTGCTGCCGCTGTGGCAACATCTCTGCTACTTCTGCGTTTGAGTCGTTCTCGTGGATGTGTACAACCCTCAATTTCCTTTTTGCCCCTGGGCGGTTTTGGGAAGTTGGTCGAATGGTAGGGCTCGTGTCTGCAGGCCGAGAAAGCTGTTGGTTCTAGTAAACGTCGGCTACACGGCTACACCTCGCAGGGTATTGGCTTGCACCGGCGTTCCTATAAGTGATTGCGACCTCCCCTCCACTGTTTGAGGAGGTCCGTAAAACAACTGCCAATGCAATCTGACGATGTTTCGCTACATCAGCACGCGATGTGGAGACCAGCAGTCGATCCGTCGCAAAATGTCTGCGAAAGCTGCTGGTTCGAAGCTGCGGCACCCTCAGGTCTTGTTCACTCAGGCTGTGAATGCTCACATTTACGATCCGGAGGCTGGCCTCAGTCTCAGTGCCTGTAGGTTGAGTCGGTTGAGTGCAGGTTCGTGGGTGGATAGACGGTTGTATATAGTTGCGTTAATAATGTGTAATGCGCACCGACAGAAAGAGTGAGCAACATGCATGCATAGCGACAAATAGTAAGTGCTTCGGCAGGCAACCCCAATGTCCGCGGCCAACTTGGAGTTCTCGACGAAATATTTTGGCTACCCTGCACAAGAGAAGTCTTGGGGCTGTGGAATGCCGTGTATACGTGAATGCACGGTGGTACACTGTTGCAGGTACCAATTAGGTTCTGTGGGAAGCAGCATTGTCGATAAAGCTCGAACGGTAACTCACCTGACAGGGGTTTGTGCCGGTGCAGGGTTCTGTGGAGCTGCAAGTCAACTGAGTCAGGGCAGTCATAAACTTTGGTTTAGGCGACATGTCGCTCGTTTCGACTATACACCTTCACTGGACTGTCGCTAGACTTGCCTGCGAGGTTCGTTGCCGGACACAATGCTCAGCTTGTTCATGGCAATCGCAAACGGTGTGAGCTGGGAAGACATCTTGGCTCCATTGCGAGCGATTTCCAGCGCCTGGGTTCTGCTGTTTCTGTTCTACGTGGCGTTCACGTATCTGCACAGCATTTGGCCTTGCCTTGGGGCAGTTGCGAGAACGTTTCGGCGCCGCAACACCTTGAGACAACATCCCTGGAAGTGACACTGAGGTACTTTGCTGTCCTAAATGTGGTAACGGGAGTTTCTAGGTGGCATATTGGGAAGCTTTCTAATTTCCCTCTATGCTTCCTATAGAGGTACCTGTTCATCAGTACTTTTCAGAGCCGAAGAACTCCAACCCAGGTTTTTTGTCAATCCGAATCCTGGCTTTGAAGTGGTACTTTTCCACTGGTTGCGCTGTTTTGAAGTTCGTGCACGCTCGCATTGCCTGCGCTGAGCAAAGGCAATCGACAGTGCGCAGAATGACCACGCAACGCTTGTGCAATCGATGCTGGCCAACAAGGACTTCTCTGCGGTCTCATTGTGCCATAGCATGACATGGAGGCATGCAGCGAATGTACATTGGACCCCAATATGACCAGCAGTAATTACCTGTCTTGCAAGATGAGCTGCGAGAGTGCCATACTTTGGCACATTTATGATTCGTCTGTTGAATGGCCATGTTGTCTCACGATTTGAGCCCTTCCGTTCGCGGGTCTAGTACTGCCGCCAGTGCCATCACCGCTACAACGGCAGCTGCCACTACCGCTCCCACTCTTTCCTCACTATCACTACTACTACTACTACTACTACTACTACTACTACTACTACTACTTCTGCTGCTACTACTACTACTACTGCTACTACTGCTACTATTTCTACCACTACTGCCACCACCACTACTACTACTACTACTACTGCTACTACTACTACTACTACTACTACTCCTACTCCTACTCCTACTGCTACTCCTACTCCTACTCCTACTCCTACTCCTTTGCTGCTGCTACTGCTCCTGCTGCTGCTCCTGCTCCTGCTGCTGCTGCTGCTACTGCTGCTGCTACTACTACTGCTACTACTACCGCTGCTGCTGCTTCTTTGACTGCGACGGCGACTGCGACGACGGTTGCCCCACGACCACTTCTGCTGCTACTGCTGCTGCTACTGCTACTGCTACTGCTACCGCTGCTGCTACTGCTACTGCTGCTGCTACTGCTACTACTACTGCTGCAGCTGCTACTGCTACTACTACTACTATTACTACTACTACTACTACTGCTGCTGCTGCTGCTGCTGCTGCTGCTGCTGCTGCTGCTGCTGCTTCTACGACTGCGACTGCGACGGCGACTGCGACGACGGTTGCCCGAGGACCACTTCTGTTGCCGTTGCTGCTATGATCAAGCATCTGGCCATGGCATTTCAGGTTTAGCTGTTCAATTGGTCTTAGGTGCAATTCCACTGGTGTTGCAGTGTTGGCATCTTGCTCTGAATATCCGATTTCCCAGCTCAGCAGGAACTGGATGATGTTCGTACATGCATGAACACCATCCTTCTTCAGAGACCTGGATGCCTGTCTTGGCAGGAAGCGCACCTGCACGAAATACGAGCCTTGTTTAGCACCTTGGTCTGACATGCCTTCCTGCTTCAAGGCCTAGTTTTAAAATCATCGTTATTGGACTGAGGCAAGCTTGGTGCATCTGATTCTGGTGTTATCACCTACGCGATGTTCGAGGAGAAGATCGACTCGCCTGCTGTGCGGGAGTACTTCGAAACTCTTGGACTGGATGTTACCAGGCAAGACGATTCCAACGTCCCCTTTGGCAATCTGTCGCAAGGGAAATCCATGCAGTAGGGACTGTCTCTCAAAGGAGAGGGAACGCATAATGTGGTCATTGTAAAACTTGGCTTAGTTGGCATCCGGGGAGTGCTGCCAAGAAGAGGAGGACATAGTGAACTGCGCCATTGCAGCATTCCCCCATCGAAAGGTGGACACCATCATCACCAGCGTCATCATCATAGGGCAGTGGGATCCATGTTCGGCTCGACGCAAGCCCACAATGCCCACAATGCCGTTAACGGGGCCGCCTCCTGCTGCTGCACTGATGCACAACAACAACAACAACACCATCAACAGCAACAGCCACAGCAACACCGTAGCAACAACAACAACAAAAACATGGAGCCCAGGGTTAGGGTTCAGGGTCTAGGCGAGGGCGGCTACCTCTAACTCTACAACTTCAACTTCAATGGGCCCAGGTTTGGGATGCCTGGTCTTTCTTCAAACTGCTCGATCTCGACGGAGGCTTCGGGCTGGCTGACTGTTCACGTGCCTGTGCTTGACATTGACTTTGCTTGCGGTGCCTGCTATCGCATCGCCGGCATGCTTGTGACGTCGTCCCGAGTCCAAGCCCTTGCTTGGGCTCGCGCCTGATCTGCTTTCCACACCAGAACGTTGTGAACAATGCAGCGTGGTGTCCGTTGGTGTCTACTGCGTGCGCAGGTGGCTCTGTCGAGATTGAGGAGTTCTTCAAAGGATGTCTTCGATTGCGGGGCCAGGCGAGGATACCACCGTTGCGGAGTTTGCATGAGAGTTTGCATGACCTCACCTCCGCTTAATGCCTTCTGTATCCCAGCAGTTTGTGCTTCCTGGGAGGCACGGGCTGTGGACATTGGCAAGATCATGCATGAGTCTTGTCTTCTTCGGAGATGTTCTCGATACCATCTTTGTTGCTGCTCGTAATGGCCCGAAGCCCCAGCCCACCCCCCGGCCGGGGTCCCGGGAACGCCAGACGCCTCACCACATGTGTGCGTACATACGTGCATGCAGGCAGACAGACAAACATGTCTCGACATGTATATAATCAGCACGTGTGGCTATGTAATCATGTCCAAAGCATGAGGATATAAGCATACGTGCACATATACTTGATACTCTTCATGTATACATGTATATATACATAGTATATATAAACGTCTATATTGTATATTTTTTATATTACGTTTTATTATTATATATCATATATATATATATATATGTATATATTATCCCTTCATCCGTTTAATACATCCCGCCTAATATACAGAATTCCCCGGCCGGAAAATTTCCAGTTTCGAGCAAAAAGTTCACAAATGAGTAGGTTTAAAGGCATGTTGAATCAGAGGTCAGGTAGGATGGCCATCACGGATTCGGACCTACCAGGCTAGGATCGCATGGAGAATTTGGACGGCCGGCATTTGGAGCAGGAACGCGGCGTCCGAGGGAGTCCGGATGTGGGAATTTCAGGGTTTAGCCGTCTAGATTCTCTTCTCCCAGGCTAGGGTCGCATGGAGAGTTGGAACGGCCGGCATGGAGAATTGGATATTCGCAGGCTGAGGCCCTTGCAAACGATAGAACAGAATTTTTAATATTAGGGGGATTATTTGGACTCGGTGCATATAGGACCCTGCCTGCAAGCATTGACTGGGTGCTTTTTGGATATTTGCTAGGGAATTGGCCCTCTCCTTGTGCTGAACAGTTACGCTGCTCACCACGAAACTCGAAGCGACTTTCTTGCTGAGGTCTTTGACTTTTGTCAGAGTCAAAGGTCAACCCCCCGGGTGCTCACGGGAGACTTTAACGACGAGCCCGAAGAACCCCCTCTGACCCTGGGTCTCACCGCATCAGGAGCATCGCTTTTCATCCCCCCGGAGGGCATCGGGAGCCGGTGGACCAGCGACCGGGTCATTGATTACGTCTTGTCTCCAGAAGGCCCCAACTTGCACATGTTGGCAAACAGGATCAGTGACCACAGAGCTTTCACACTGGACCTCCAAGGGCTTCAGTTGGGCCTCTCCGCCACCAAACATGAAGTGGTGCCCAGAAATGTCTCCTTACCTCGCGACCCCGACCAAGGCTCCATGTAAAGGACACACCTTGACGAAGCCTGGACTCAGCAGGCCGACCACTGGACCCACTGGTGGCAAAACTTGACACCTTTTAACCCTGAAGGACAAGGTTGGCGCTCAGGACCAAGTGGACGCCGAGTGGCACAGTTTGTGTGCCCACTTGGAAGCCTTCCTTCAAAAAGCAGCTACCGCACTACAGGCGAAAGGACTGCCTATGAGGTATCACAGGAAGCCCCAATGCTGCAAAGGAGCACCGGCTAAGGTGAGACAAGTCCCTCGGGTCCAGCGGCAGGTTCACGGGGACTCGACTAGCGCCGCACTCAAAGTGTGGCACCGCCTTTACGGCCGGCTTTCAGAGCTCGAACGCCGAAGCCACCATGGTGACAACTGTAGCAGCGCTGTTGTCAAGCTGCGCAGGAAGCTCGCTAGATGTCCGTACTACACTGAGGACATAACGGCGGCCCAAGCTGAAGCTAAGGTAAAGCAACTGACTAAGGATGAAACGGCGGCTAAGCTCAAGCGCTGGAAATTCAGACTTCCAAGTCATGACCGGGAGTTGTTGCGTTGGCTCAGAGAAAAGCCCACGCCTCCCACAGTCAACATCTTCGACGACGACGACAGTGCCGAGGCCGCTGCTACTTGCGATGGTCAGGAAGTGCTGCAGACGCTTCTTCAGTACTGGTCCAGGGTCTGGGACAGAGAAGCGGGGCCTACAGAGATGGACCAGCCTGAGCAGCAGTGGTCTCCCGTGAGCGCGACCAAGGTTTTGCGTGCAGCAAGAAAACAGCAGGGCACGATGGCTGGCATCGAAGTGGCTTTGTGGCCGGCCAACCTCTGGTCCGACGTGGTCAGGGTCCTTCAGCGATGGGAGTTTGCCGGCTACTTTTCTTCGGGATGGAGAGAAATCTTGCAGACCGAAGCCGGGATCAGCTCGCCAAGCCGACAAAGCCGTTCCGGCAGGCAAGTTGCGTCCGATATCGGTGCTCCCGGTGTTCTGGCGCATATACATTGCCGCCCGCATTGAGGATGCAGTGCACAACTGGTTGGACAGCCAGCTCCACCCCAGTCAGGCAGGAGGCCGGAGAGGGCGCGACGCTACGGCCGCTTTCGCGACCATTGCGGAGACCTTCGCGCTGAAGCACTTCATTTGCACCCTGGACCTTCGCAAAGCCTTTGACTATGTTTCTCCAGACAGGGCACGCGCTACTCTGGATTGGCATGGGTTCCCGGAGAAGCTCGGACGCTTTGTGGAGCGGGCAGAGGCGCTTCTTGTCGTGGTACGGCGAGGTGCTCCCGGAGCCTAAACATGCCAGAGGCTCCATGCCCCAAGGAGACAGCTTAGCACCGGCCGTCATGAACTTGGTCATGTCGACTCCGGTGAAAGACATACTGCGACGCATTCCTTCGACTCTCATGTGTGCTTTCCTCGACGACCGGACGTGGCGCTCGCGCACAGTGCAGGAGCGTGCACAGGGTTTTCAGAGATGGACATTCCATACAGGACGACTCGGTCTCCAGGAGAACGAGACTAAGACGCAATCGACGCACAAGACAGTGGCAGGCCGGCGGAAATTGGAAGGCCACGACTTGTTCAGGCAGAACGTCAGTCCCTTCTTGCATCTTCGCTCGGCATGGGCACCGTCCATGAAAAAGAGCAGACTCGCGTGGATAAGGGTGCAAGAGTGGCTGACAAGTTGCGTGCTGTGCCCATGCGGGCGGCTAAGCCAGTTTTTGCCTCAGGTATGGCTGCTACGTCTAAGATCAGCTTCGGGTGGCTGGTCGTGCACCGACCAAAAGGCTGTTAGGCAAGGTCCAGACTAAGTTGAAACGAGCTGGCTATGCTCATGCAGCAGCTTCCACGGACCTTGGCAAGCTTGTAGTGGGTCACCATCGAGACCCTCGCTTCTGCGCTGGGGCTCAGGCGCTGTCCGCAGTTCGCAGAGCTGTGAGATTTGAAGGCCGCGCCTTAGAGACTGGGAAGCGACGGGTGGCCCGGCAAGGCGCTTAAGGAGGTTTATGGCGGAGCTAGGCTGGCTGGTGGTGTCTCCGTGGCTGTGGAGTCACCCTGGCTGTGGAGTCTTCCCAGTATGCCATCTCACGTCTGCCTGGATCCTCAGCGCCAAGAGTTTTTGGGGCACTCCTTGGGATGCTCAACTGCACGCAATAAGAGAATCCTGGAAAAGAGCTCGTTTTGCGGCCTACTTAGGTTCGTCCAGACATGAGGTTGCGGCAAATGCAAGGGGCACAGTACAGCGAACGGACTGTAGCTCAGGTGCGGCGGGCGGCTGTAGGGGCTGACAAACACGTGGTGTCCGTGCTCACCGGGTGTTTCGTCAGTCCTGAGCACCTCACACGTGCTAAGCAAGGGAGCGGGCTTCAGGGCGAGGGGTGCCCCTACTGTGGACAACAGACGGCCACTTTCGATCATGTCGTGCGGTCGTGCAGTTCTTATGCCAGGCCCCGCCCTGCAAGACCACGAGATCGCATGACAACCCGACTGGGCTGGGGCTCCTGCCAGGTCCCGTCGCACATCGTGGCGGTTCGCCGGGACATGCTCCTGGCACGCCACGGCATCTAAGGACCAGCGGCGCAAAGTGGGCGGACTACCCCTCCAACGATACGTTCTATGGTGTGTGGTGTCCGTCGTTGTCTACTACGCGCGCAGGTGGCATGAGTCTTGTCTTCTTGGAAGATGTTCTCGATACCATCTTTGTTGCTGCTCGTAATGGCCCGAAGCCCCAGCCCACCCCCCGACCGGGGTCCCGGGAACGCTAGACGCCTGACCACATGTGTGCGTACATACATACATGCATGCATGCAGACAGACAAACATGTCTCGATATGTATATAATCAGCACGTGTTGCTATGTTAGTAAGCATGTCCAAAGCATGAGGGTATAAGCGTACATGCACATATACTTGATATTCTCTATGTATACATGTATATATATACATAGTATATATTGT